GGTTGGATTTGCCCGGCCCCCCCGAGGAATTTACGTGCATGCGAGTACCAGCATGCTCAAAATATGTCAGCAGTATTTAAATTTTACATATTTGAGACCAAGACTACAACAGATTACATTCATGATAAAACCTTCGACAGTCATTAACAAAAGCAAAACTTGAAGCGTCAAGTATCACTGCACTCACGAGAGCGGGCCCCCCCCCTTCATGTGTGCCACTGCCCTGTTTCTCCTCTCAGGTGGTGAAGTTGTGTGGTGAGTGCTTGGAGAAGCAGGAGAACGTCCTGGGTGACACTCACTTGTACAAGCTGCGCGCGCTCAGCGTAGCCAGCGAGGTGCTTTCCCGCCAGCGGTTGTTCTCCGAGGCTGCGGCGTACGCTAAGAGGATGGTGGACGGATACACGTAAGGCAGGCCTCACTGCAGTGTCCAGCGCATACCTGAACGCCGCAGTACGCTCTCCCACAATCTGGTTGTTTTCCTGTTCTGAATCACACAGGCAAGGCAAATGTGCTAACTGCTAATAATAATGAACAAGAAATATCGCACATTCCAAATGCATCCGTGTTTAATTGAAGACGAAATTGTTCATCGGTGTGAATGTGTGTGGGATTGTTTTTTTTTTCTTCAACAGTGGAGTTAGCCGGCGCGGCCTCAACGATCTTGCAGGCAGTTGCGCGCTCTTGTGTATGTGTACGTGCGCATAAACAGATCATTTGTACCGCGTTAGAGATAAAATTTGTATTAGAACTAAACATACACAGGGTTGCATGTTGAGAAAATAAAGTGAACCTCAAATAGGTTAACTGTGTTGACCCCCGCCCCCCTTCAACAGGAAGTTATATCCCCACAACAACGCTCAGCTGGGCTTGGCCATCATGCGCGCAGGCGCCATCCACTGGCAGTCGGGCCAGACCGAGCTGGGCCACAGCTTGATCTGCAAAGCTTACGGCATTCTCATGGTCACCCACGGGCCCAACCATGCCATCACCAAAGACTTGGAGGTACAGTGAGACGAGACACGAGCTAAAGTCAAGCTAAATGGAGCAGAATGTGGCGTTAGCGGACTTGTCTTACCATACGCTGAAGTGTTTCAGTTCCGGAAAACGCTCTATTTTTAATGCGGGTGTGTGGAGGCCCGCGGACAGGTGAAAAACAGACCTCCATTGCAATCGACCCATCTTCAGTCTTCAATGTAGTGTTAAGCTTCACCTGATATTGTAATTCAGAAAAAACAAAACAGTACTTTTTCTTTGTACCGTATTCTTGTGGCGTAACCTTATCTGTTACGGTACAATCCCCTATATTTTTATTTCTTCTCAGTGTGACACTAACAGGAGTGCTGCCAGGGATTGGCGGGGTGGAGGTGGGCGCAGGCTGTAAAAAATGGAAAAATAACCACGACAATCTGCAAATTGAAAAACTAACACTTGCACTCCTGTTGGTCATGGGCCCTTAGAATCATTATCACCGCATTCCATCTCCCCATCCAGCGCCTCGGGGCCTTCAACTCTGCTGAACTACTTCGTGTTGGCGGCAGGAAGGCCATCAAAAAAAGTACCGCTATTCATTTTAGGGTGTGCGCATTCCTGCAATTTATCGTGAAGTGCTGCCGTCTCATTTCTACACCCACCCAAAAAAAAAAAAGGGGGGGGGGTGGTCATTAATGTGGCATTTTTCTGCCTTCCTGTAGTCCATGCGCATGCAGACTGAGAAGGAGTTAAAGAAGAGGAAGACGTCACCCTGAGCCACGCTGATGTCAAGAAGCAGCTTCTCTGTGGCCTGCAGTAGTCGGAGCAGGTCAGCTCATGTAAAAAGATGGCTGCTCAAGCACAATCACAGTCAAGACTGATTGTTCAAAGCAACTGGAGGACGTGTGGAAAAAATAAAATGTGCTGTCGTGATCGCGCAATGAGAGTCATGCGTAATTTTTATTTAGTTCTTTTTTTTAAATTTTTTTTTAACAATGTCAATTTATTTCAATGTGAGGCTATTTAGAATCATAAAAATCCAACGGAGCGCATGTCAACACGTAAAACGACTTCCCAAGACTTTTGAAAGATTGATTGAAGACATTTTAATGGCAAGGAAGGACTTCTTTTAGATTCATTAATTCCAATGCCTTTTAAGACTTCTCAAGGTTTCCATGGAAAGTTCAGATGCATCCAATTAGATACAAATCCACTTTTCGTTATTTCCTGAAGAAGGAAGACTGTAAAGTCTTTATCAAAGTCTTAAAAAAAAAAAAAAAAAAAAAAAAAAAAGTTAAAATATTTTGCCTGGAAACTTTTTTTGTAAAAGTGCATCGTCACACACTGCATTTCAAAATTGCAGTTCGTAGGTGAATTTCAATATTGTCAGCTTCCCTTTCCCTACAAAGATTCTCCAAAGTTGCTGAAGGGTGAATAAAAAGAAAGAAATCCTCCATCAACATACAAAGTAAACACCAGTGAGTTTTTGTTTTTCCCCTAAATGGACAGAATTCTATAAATAAGTGAACAGTAGAGTAGTACACCTTCATCAGGACCAAAGACATATGAGGTTTGCATTTTCCCCAAATGATGAGAGAGAACTTACTCAATAAAATACATACGAGTGTTTTCCAGTACCGGTAAATGATAAAAGTCCAATTTAAGATTTAAAACCCCATCAATCCATCAACGACATGTTAGTGTTCATTGCACAACGCAGAGCTCGGTGCTGGCCTGATTTTGATCGTCGGCGTCCATGTCTCTGCGGGCCCCGCCGCGAGCGTCCGTGACGCCATCTTGTCGGGAGGAGTGAGGCTCCGTATCCTGCCTCAGCTTCACGAGCAGTTCCTTGCCATCGCTCGAGGGCAGGTTGCCCAGGAAGTACTGCGGCGTGAGCTCCACAAGCCTGCAATACAAGATGGTGGAAGGTGAAAATGAACAACAACAAAAGCAATTTTTTAAATAGCCACACAGTCAGGCCAGGAGGCAGTGAGGCTCGGTACAGATGGAACGCAAATCAAAGCATCCTCAAGCGTTTTCTTGATGTTTTCTTTTTCTTTTCAGTCACATATATTCTTATATATTATTGATAATATTTCTGACAATACGTGGAATATCGTAGCTATTGCAATGTTATCGTGGGCCACATATCGTCCCAGTAGCAAATGGTCTCGTCTCAGCCCGAGTGCCGAGTCTTGAATGGGCCAGTTGACTTACATCTGTGGGTGGACCTCAGATACGATGCGTATGCAGTTGTCACAGGAGATAGTGAATTCGTGGTAGAGGACCCAGGTAGGGGGGGCGGGACGGGGCTGACGACACAGGTACGAGGACAGCGGGTGCAAGTGAGCCACGTGGCGGTGAGTTAACAGGAGGTAGTTACCGGAGCCGTCTACATCATGAGCCACCTGCGGAGGAAAACAACCCCAATCCTAATGACTGAAAAGAAATGTACCGTGTGTACGGAGAGCAGAGGATTATTATTTTTTTTTCCTTGACAATAATGAGTGAAAATAGGAAGGGTAGATGGATTTGCTTGCAGCCCGGGCTCAACGATGAATTGCATTTGATGGAGCGCTGCGGGTTTTTTTTGGAGAGAGAGTGGAGCCTCATTCATTTTCATGGGTTTTTTTTTTCAGATCCCCTTTCGTGCTGCGAGAGTCACTAAGTTAGCGGGCCATTTGTGTTTACTCAAAGTAGAGACACGTTTTCCATCCTGCTTAAGTGGTGCTGTTTACATTTGGCGCAGTGCATTGTGGGAAGTGAGACGTCAACATCCGCAGCTGAATATGGTTCAATACAGTACCTCAAAGTGGGAGCTTACTTTAAGGAAGAGGCCGGAGATGAGAGCCCTCTTGATATTTGTGCAGTTGTCTTGGCAACCAAAAGCAGGGTGTGACACAGGAAGTTCAATTCGCCGCATGACCTCCAGCAGCTCGGCCCTGATCACCACAGCCACCCGCAAGGCCGCGTGGTTCAGGAAGTGTGTGGTGCACCATGCCTCATCCTGATTATCTGCAATTTGCGCGGGCGGTACAAGTCAGCCATGTGTTTGCTGAGCCACTTCACGGCTATAAACGATGCGCATTTTCTTCTGCGAACGTGTCTTGATAGTATTCCAGTACATTCCCAAAATCACTCTGCAGCAAACAAACTGCGAATGACTCTGACAAAAATTGCACGTATGAGCAACTTACTTTCCACGTAGGCGTTGTAAATGTGAATGAGAGACATGTGGTCGCCTTCTGCATGCATTAGAGGTCGCCAGTGAGCAATAGCAGCCTCCTCTCTGCCAGAATCTGGCCTCATGAAGCAGGAAGGAGCTGAGCCAAGATAAAGAGACCATTAACTTACAAAATGAGCTATTTTAAATGGTTTTGGTTTTTCCAATTGGATAACACTTGTCAAATAGATTTTCAAGCTTTGAGTTGAACTTTGAATCTCTACCCGTCAGCATGGCAGCTATTGTGAGTAGCTCATCCACACAGTCAAACTCGCAGGCTGCGATCAGGGCTTTCGCCAAATGTGGCTCCAGTGGCAGTTCTGACATGATGATGCCCACTTCTGATAGGTTGCCATCGTCATCCAGTGCTGCTAGGTAGTCCAAGTCCTCCAAGGCCTGCATTAAAGCCTCTGGGGCTGCGAGTGGGAATGAAAGACACGACAGAGAAAGATCGAGTAAAGAGACCACGTTGATAACACCAATGAGCCGCCACAGGTGTACTTTTAAGTTTGGGCTTTTAGCACTAGTGCTCCAGTTCAAAGCAATTAGGCGACTGTTGCCCCTTTGAAGTGTATGAATAAATCGGCCACAAACTTCTTTTTGCATCAAGGACTACAGCAAAAATCAACTCTACCCAATAGGGCACATGTGTGCAGCACTTTCAAGATTTTCATTCTAAAAATACATTTATGAATTTACCAGAGCATTTTTCAACCATCAGGTTAGCATGACGCGCGCAAGGGTCAGATTAACAGTCTTTTTTTTTCTTTTTTGCGACATACAAAAAGGTACCTGGTCTGTCTAAGAATTTGCATTGACCCATGTCGGCAATGTCCAGTCTCTTGAGCAGCAAGACTAAATGGCTGAGATTTTCCTCCATGACCCCTGGACAATGCGCTTCGCCCATGCCGTGATCATACACGGACTGGGGATAAAGGCGCAAACACAGCCCTAAAGGGAAACAAAACGGAAAACATTTAGGAAACTCTTCCGACATTTGTGAACAAAGCATCCACACAGCAAATCTGTTTTGTTTTTTTGCAAAGTCAGGTCATTTGTGGAAATGTCTGCGATGCATTTGACACTTGTACAGTGCAGCTGTAACCTTTGGCCTACCGGGAAGGTTGCTATTCACTCTTTGAGCTCGCATGTCCGCCTGGGTCTTGCTGATTGTCTTCAGCATCTGCGAGTTTGCTCTTATTTGAGGATTGTAAACCTAAGGAGGAAAATTAAGAAAAAAAAAAAACATTTGACATGTCAGAAATGTGTGGTAGTTATTTCCTACAGTTATTTCCGATTAGGCTTACTCATTCTAGAGTGACTTTAAATAAGCGCTACAGACTACATTGCTTGACTTGCGTCTGAAATCAAATCCCAGGTGCAACTGGCAGGCAGATTTGTTCGCAAACAAATGCTTTTCAAAGTTGGTGGAGGTAAAAAAGTGTTTGTACCCAAGAGGACTCGAGATATACTGTACAATATTTTCAGTCTATAACAGGGGTGACCAATATATCGATCATGATCGCCTGGTAGCCCGCAGATTGCCAGGGGTCGAGGGGGAATTCGAAGTCTGTGTGTGTATATTTTTGTTTGAGTGCACACTGCACCCTAAGCATCCTATCAGTTCCACTTTCACAAAAAAAATAAAAATAAAAACAAAAAAAAGCAGGTCACCTTGAACCTACGGTGGCACATGATCTGCATCACCGAGAGGCATTTTCAAAGCGTAGGCGCACATCCGATAGTTTGGGCACCCCTGGTCTGTCATGACCGCAAACTTACAGTTTTGAGTTGAAGGCCCGTGTCTATGACATAGCGGATGTCTGGCAGGGAGAACGAAGCCTCAGCCAGGCTATTAGTCAGGATGACTTTCCTCTGGATGGCCGGATCTTCCACACCCAGTGTTGTGCCGTCCTTTCCCTCTGACCCGTCATTCTCCTTGTGAGCCGACATGTCTGTGTTGTACACTCGTTGAGTCAGCCCACCCAGTCCAGCGTGGAGGGGAAGGATCTTGAGAGAACCAAGTTGAGGACTCAGGGACACACGCTCCGCCTCGAGCTGTGTAGCGCACTCCTCTATTTCCTACACAACAAAACAATGAACAGACTACTCATCAGTTCTTTCCAACATCCAGTGATGGACAGGTCAGCAAAACCAGTGAGGTGATTTTGGGATGTTGACAACATCATGCAAAGTTATGATGCCCGGAAGAACCGTCAAGCAAAAAACGTAAAACTTGCACCTGTGCACTAGCAAGAAAGACCATCATATCGCCCTCCTCTCCCCTACGGTGAAGATCGAGAACCATGTGACAGGCAGCGCCCACAGCATCCTTCCCAGGTGAAAGCTCCCGATACATGGTCTCCACCCTGTTCCGGTTCATAGAGTTCCTCTCCTCTTCGACCAGGCCTTCTTTTTCTTCTCCGCTTGAAGGTGCCTCAGAAGAAAGGTTGTCCATGTGGAGATGAGGGACGGAGGGTCCCAGGAAGGAGGCGAGCCGAGGGGCGAGACTCGGGTGGCTCAGAAGAACCACGCGGAAGTTATCCGGCCTCTGGCGGCAGACGTCGCACAGCAGGCCAAGGAGCACGTCCGTTGCCACGGTGCGCTCCTGGAGCTCGTCCAAAACCACAAGGCCATATTGATGCAGCAAGGGATCCGACATCATTTCCTCCAATAGAAGAGTGTCACTGACAAACCTGAAGAGAGAAACAAAGGTCAACTCGAACCATCGCATAGCACACCGGCAGACAGGCAAGGACAGGTGTAAGCGCTGCACTTCCCGAGCTCCAAGACGTGGGGGTAAAGGTGTCTAGCCAAAGGGCGCCTCAACAGGCGTCTGGAAGAAGATTAGCACCTTGCCAATATTTACTACTGTTATTTTATCCCGTAGGGGCTCGAACCTTCCGTTTCCCAAATGTTCTTATGGAAGAGCGAACACTCACCAAATATTAATGTTCTAGAGTTGATGTAGTACAATGTTTCCGCCGTTCAAAATTGCGAGTCGGCCGCCTCCAGCTAATTTTGTGCTCCCCCCAAAAAAAAAAAAGATTGATGATTTATTTTACAGAGTTTGAGAGTGCAGTGAAGGCAACCCAGGTGTCAAATTACATTGCCGTAACACATTTACCTCCACCTTTGACTGCAAAGTGCAGGGAACAAAGAACACTCAAGGCGTGGCAGCAAGTAAAACAAGGATCATGTGACATCATACAAAACTGGAGAAATCCAATAATGTCACCTAGTTGGACTGCGGGATAACCATGACACAGGGCATGTTTTAGATGTGGGGAAAAATGAAATCGTTTTAGGCTGGTGTATAAGAGTCCTGGCGAACAGGTGGCTTTAAAAGAGTTTTCAAAAGTAACAACTATAATTTTTGTAGATTGAGAAGTCCTCAGGTTTGCAAAAGACAAAATGTGTCAATAAAGCAAAAGAGAAGGGCGAAAGGTTCAGAGTAGTAGGTGGTAGTGAATCAACCACCTTTGTTTTCATGTCACCACTAACAGTCCATGTTAGTCACATATGTTATTCGCTTTTGTCACATGTCCTGACCTGAGCAAGGTATCTGGCGTGCAACTGTCATCATGAGCCACCCCGTAGCCCACCTCCAGACCCAAGCTGAGGTCCATCTCATCGGCCACACGAAGGGCCAGACTGACGGCCGCCACCGAGTAAGGCTGGGAACAACACACCGTGCCCTGAGAGAATTCGTAGGACATAGCATATTCCACACACCACTGTGGCACCTGGAAGACAAGAATGAGGCAGAGAAAAGTCAGCAAGAGGAGGAAGTCATAGCATGCTGTATAACAGAGGTACAGAGGCATGCGATGCACTTTTGATTGAATTGAGTTACCTGGGTGCTTTTTCCTACACCGCTGGGTGCACTGAGCAGCACCATGTTGTGACTCTCCAGGTGCTCCAGTAGATTGGGCCTTAACGTCCATATGGGAAGTTGTTGCCTCTCTTGCAGTAAGGTGTAGTAGCGGGAAGAAAAAGGCAGCCCATCATATGGGTTCACTTCAAGGTCTCGAAGACTATCCTCGTCCTGGCCCCCATCTTGTCCTTCTACCCCGTCCTCCTCTAACTCCCCAGATAGAAGGGAAGACATGGATAGAGAGTCCAGCGCTTTTGAAAGTCCAGACTGGGGACAGGGCTTCGCCGGTGATGAGGACATCAGCAGCGGGTGGCAATAAGGACTAAATGAGAGCGAGAGGCTGGTTTGCAGAGGAAGTTCACCTGCACAACGGTGAAGAAAAAGAATCAATGACAATGAATGCACAGGATTCCAACTGAAAACATTTTGATGGTACGGCTGAACAGAAGCCTCGCGGTTCATTTCGAATGGTGCGTGCACACCAAATCCGTCATTACTTTTTCACAGAGGGTTATTCCAAAGGCACCCATCCATTATTTTGTTACAGAAAGCCCTAACAAAACCTAAACAACAAGACATAATAGCGAGAGAGTCAGGAATGCAACTCAAATGTGCATTTCAGTACTAAAATGTGGAGAAATGGGCAAAGTTCAAGCAAAGATGAGACACTGTCAAGAATGTTTACAATGAACATCAGGGCCTATAGCTTTATACTATCGCTTCGTAAAATGGGGTTTATTGCCAAACCTAAAAGTTTCGTTTTTTTAGTCTGGAAATATATTATTGTCGTAAAAATATTATTCCTCTATCCTGGGGATTGTAAACAGACAATGCTTCAAAAATCATCTTCATTCAGATTGATTCATTTAATCAGGTGACTGCTGAAACACAACACAACCAGTCTAATAACGATCTACTAATTTATGAGTGGAAGTAACATCGGTATGTCAAAAGATTTGCAGCTCAATCACTGTAGACCACTTTAAACCATTTGAGTCATACACAATTACTGCACTGGTGCAGATCTGTTGTGTTTACTGATCTCAAAATGTACTTGAAGCGGGCTTACAATGAAATACAGACATACCAATTCTTATCATACGACTACTTTTTAGTAAGGCTGAGGATGATTTCGAGCTTTCAAGAACCTACGTCAATATGTTCCTTTGTTTGCATCCTAACAAAATTGCTCGAGATTAAAATGTTGACGACTGATGGTAGGCCTTTGATTAATCTGATCAAATGCCAGCGAGTTAGTTTCATCTGTGATCTTTTATATTCATATTTTAATAATAGGCCTACTCCTTTATTAGGTTCTTGGTTTTTACCGGACTTGTTATGTAACGATTTAAGCGGTCAATCCAGGTGAGGTCAGCAATGACGCCACGGTAGTGACGTCACCATTAATAAAGGCATTGGACCACTACGCTGTGTGCTTGTGTATCCTTCAATCAATTTTCAAAATTTCACACATTGAAAGGAGAAACTACTGTGTCGTAGAGGCATTTACTTTGCAGACGCCCAATTGAACGTATGCAATTCATTTATATTCACTTTGTAAGCAATCGTTTTCGAAAGGACACTTCAATTGTTTATATTCTTCCCTTTGTCGGAAACGACTGCTTTTGATTGTACATTTCCGCTGACCAAAACTATGTTCCTTTGTTTGCATCCTAACAAAATTGCTCGGGATTAAAATGTTGACGACTGATGGTTGGCCATTGTTTAATCTGGTCAAATGCCAGCGAGTTAGTTTCATCTGTGATCTTTTATATTCATATTTTAATAATAGGCCTACTCCTTTATTAGGTTCTTGGTTTTTACCGGACTTATGTAACGATTTAAGCGGTCAATCCAGGTGACGTCACCATTAATAAAGGCATTGGACCACTACGCTGTGTGCTTGTGTATCCTTCAATCAATTTTCAAAATTTCACACATTGAAAGGAGAAACTACTGTGTCGTAGAGGCATTTACTTTGCAGACGCCCAATTGAACGTATGCAATTCATTTATATTCACTTTGTAAGCAATCGTTTTCGAAAGGACACTTCAATTGTTTATATTCTTCCCTTTGTCGGAAACGACTGCTCTTGATTGTACAGAGTCATCAAGTCACACGAGACATTTTTTTTTCCAGCAAAGCCCCAAATAAGCAGGTAGAGTCAAATCATATCTGACCTGTTTAACATAACGCCTGAAGTGAGGAAACCAAGTCGAAACTGTTCGTGCCCCGTCCAAAGATGTTGTGGCGGTCGATTCCCTACTATCTCACAGGCCGCCTCCTCATCTTCAAAAGCAAGTCGATCAAAAAAAATAATACGGAAGGTGGAAAAATGCCAACAGCTGATCACAGTCACTTCCTACTAATCCTCACCTATCCAGCTTCCTTCCTGACAGCTGACAGAAAGAGACAGTCAAGAGGTGTTGACGGCACTCTCTAACAGGCGCCATGTTTGCTAGCACGCTGTCAAATGGAGCGTTGCGTTCACAAGTCCTCGGAAAATGCAACATCTTCAACATGTAGGCACGTTTGGCTCTGCCTTAAAGGGAATCTTTCTGGCTCACATCATTTGAATTTAAAAAATGTTTTCATCTGTGTTTGATTATGAATTGCTTGTGCAAATGATTTAAAAAATGTCAGATATAAATTATAGCAATCAAAGCAAATAAAATCTCCGATTAACTCCTACAATCAATCATCTGTAAAAAGCCACTCTGTTTATCCTGGCTGAGCTCACAGATTGGATTGTCATTCTCAGTCTCTGCTCCCAGTCTTTGCACCAGTCAGAGGTGCGTTCCAGGTTCTGGAAACGCGAGGGTAATTTGTCCAAAGCCTTGAGACAGAAAGAGACAGTCAAGAGGTGTTGACGGCACTCTCTAACAGGCGCCATGTTTGCTAGCACGCTGTCAAATGGAGCGTTGCGTTCACAAGTCCTCGGAAAATGCAACATCTTCAACATGTAGGCACGTTTGGCTCTGCGTTAAAGGGAATCTTTCTGGCTCACATCATTTGAATTTAAAAAATGTTTTCATCTGTGTTTGATTATGAATTGTTTGTGCAAATGATTTAAAAATGTCAATAGATATAAATTATAGCAATCAAAGCAAATAAAATCTCCGATTAACTCCTACAATCAATCATCTGTAAAAAGCCACTCTATTTTTCCTGGCTGAGCTCACAGATTCGATTGTCATTCTTAGTCTCTGCTCCCAGTCTTTGCACCAGTCAGAGGTGCGTTCCAGGTTCTGGAAACGCGAGGGTAATTTGTCCAAAGCCTCGATTGCATCGGGTAGGTCGAAGTTCAAGCCGGCCCTTCTTAATGTTGCTTGAAACTTGGCTGGGGATGCTGTGGCGAGGTAACACCTGGAAAAGATCACAATCTGAATCAAATATATTGGCCAAGTATGTTATAAACACATGAGGAATTGAGTTTGAACATTGGTCGACTCGTCAAGTCTTTCTAAACTAGGGGGAAAACCTTCGGGAGCAGTTACAGATGCACAGATTTTGCCTATCGCGAGTTCTTTTCAGAACATAACCCCCACGATAAGCGCGGCTTCACTGTATACAAGAATGACATCACCTTTTCACAGCAGGATCGTGGGGACAGTGGTAGTGATGCCATACGGCCACCGCGGTGTGAGGGCACAGCACATACTGGTTTTCCTCCCAACATCGCCTTGTCGTCGCCAAGATGCCTTCATCATTCACTGTTCCACTTGACAGCGTATGAGACAACTACAAGTACAAAAGTGGGAAGGAAATGCAACGCTCGGTCAAAGTATTCGAATGTTACTTTGTGCATTGTTGAGCGATAGTGGGTGCAAGAAGTCGACATAGTCTGTACCAGTTTGTGTTGGTTTTCAAGCAGAGTGTAATGATGTAACTGTTGAAACTCCTCCATGATATTCTTCACCGCAGCAGAGTCTCTTTCTAGAAGCAGCCAAAAGACTCGCTCCATGTTATAAGGGTCCTAAATCACAAATCATCATGTTCAAAAGGCATTTCCACTGTTTTATGTGCGACCGGGTAACAATATGCGACAATGTCAGCTACTGACAGGTGCAATAGCAATACCTGGATGTCAATGGCAGGAGCCAGTGTCTGCGTGACATTACGTGCCATGGTGAAGTCACCGGAAGTTACTGTCCTGTGAACAATGTCATTGGCATTTACCATGGCCACCAGCTTCAGGGGCAACCCCATCTTCTTCACGATGAAGCCAGCTGAGACAAAGATGGGCAAAGATAAGAGAAAGATGAACGAAAGAAAAATCTTCACGATGAAGCCAGCTGAGACAAAGATGGGCAAAAATAAAAGATGAACGAAAGAAAAATTTGTCGCCTGCCTGGTATATCCGCACCTGTTCTGTTTAAATGCCCTTTTAAGTGATCCTGTTCCAAGTTTTTAATGTCATCATGAAACCTCCTGCCTTACGTTTTACACTTAGGAAGGGTCAATTGAAAATTGATTCTTTCAGAGGTGACGAGTGATCTCAAACCAATGGTACGTGAGCATTGTGACATCTTTTATTTTGCATTTGTACCGTAGGTCATCAGCCTACCTGCAATGTTACCTGCTCCCCCGGTGGGCACCACCACCTCCAGTTCAGGAAGCGGTTGGTGAGCCTCATCCTGCACCATTCCACTTAGCTGCAAGTACGCATAGATGAAATGCGCAAGCTGGATCAGGATACGAGACCAGTTCACAGAGTTTAGGCTCATGAGGCCATAAGAGTTCACCAGTTCCTGATCAGCAAATAAATGACGCAGAGGCTGGTCGATGTCATCTGATGAGCCATCCGCTTTGAAAACACAAAAGGCATCCGGTTCAATCAAAATGTGCACTATTGACCCAGCTCCAAGGGTATCGCATCGGTGATACAAATCCTTTTTTTCCCTTTTTTTTGGTTCAACGTAGTCAGTTCTCTGGTTTTCAAGTTAGTTACACCTTTAACTAGGATAAATGTAAGACTTAACTGGCAAACACAAATCTAAAACTGATGGTAGATATGCTGCTTGTTTGAATAACCAATGTAATCCGAACACAGGGGAACAAAACTCGCCAGTCACACGTGTCAGGACTTTTGCTTGATGAAAAATGTTACCGTCTACTACAGGGGTCACCGACCTTTTTGAAACGGAGAGCTACTTCTTTGGTCCTGTTTTCAGGAAAGTTCAACCAGTTTGAAAACAAAAACAAAAAAAGAAATCTAAATCAACTACATTAAGATTGTTTATACTCCCTGCAATGAGCACAGCACTGACACCTACTGTAGTTGATGTACAATTACACTAGGACAGCAAACACCGCCCCCCCCAAAAAAGATCGCTCCCATGTTGTCCAGCCCCATTCGTTAAGAAAGAACGGTTAAGACTCCAGACCAAATGCTGATAGTTTGCAGCATGTTCACCTGCAAAGACATGGATATTATCCTCCAGGCAAGTGATCATTTGTTTCTCCTGGACAGGGGTAATGCGTCCTCGAGGGTAAACCACCACCACATCCACGCCGCAGAGCCCTTTTGCACTCTGGATGGCCGAGCCACCTGTATCACCTGACGTACCTACATTGGAATGCAAGTGGAGAGAAGTCACAGAAGAAATATTTAAATTCTGTTGCAGTATGTGCAAGTTACCATGACTACTGTAGCCCACCCCAAAATAAATAAATACATTTAAAAAAAAAAACCCAGCCCACATTATAACATTCAATATTATTCATTACAGCTGCTACTTTCATACCAACAAGAACAGTGGCTCTGCGTTTCTCCCTCTGCAGGAAGTAGTTCAGAAAGCGCACTGTGCATGTCATAGCCAGGTCCTTAAAGGCGAGCGTATCTCCATGGAAGAGCTCCAGGATTGACAGGCCATCCTTCAGCTGGACAATTCTAATCACATCAGGCACAGCAAATCCAGACAAAGCAGAGTGCACGAGAACTGTGACAGGGAAAGAAATGCAATTAGTTGGAAGTTATACATTCCCCCGCAAAAGTATTTCATATCATGTAGTCCTCTTTCCCCTCTGACAGTGAGCTCACCATTCAGGTCCTCTCTGGGAATTAGCTGAGAGGGAATGAAGATCGAGGCTACTTCCACCACCAGTTTGGGATAAGACAGTCCACTCCAGCATCTCAGAGCTTCTGGAGTCAGCGTGGGAATGGTCTCAGGCATGAACATCCCGCCGTCGGGAGCATAACCTGAGAAGAGTACATCCCGGAAGTCCCATCCATGGACTCCACCACGTGTACTGCAATACTTCATTAAACAAACCTAAATAAACAAAAGCAGGTTATGTATTAACTGGAGTGTGATAATGCATGTGTAATAGTTGGTTTCATCATAGGAATACAATTTAAATGGCCACAAATATCTGTGACATCAGTACACTTTTTTTCTTGCTTGCATTCTCATTCATAGCCATCTTAAGAAGCTGACTGTTCACAAAGACCTGTGTGTAAGTAAATTACTAACTGTATACACACTTATAAAAGTTTCTGGCCGATCAAGGGTTGAAAAACACAATTACCTCAGTACAAGCTATGCAGGGAACCCCGGTTGAAGATTGTGGCTAAGTCTGCACGTCCCCAAACAGCCAAAGCTCCCTCTAGTGGGTATTTATCTCTATTACGTATACGCAACAACAAACAAGCAAGGATAGCGGCTAGAGTTTAAACTTTAGTCGAATGGATTCTCTCTAGTGGGTATTTATCTCTATTACGTATACGCAACAAACAAGCAAGGATAGCGGCTAGGGTTTAAACTTTAGTCCAATGGATTCTCTTCTGCACCGCGACAATTACATACCAGTCAGATACATTTCAAACTTGTCGGTTTGTCCGCACGCTCACACAATGACGAAAAGACACGCCAAGCGAACTTTAAACCTTCGTCTCGGTCATTTTTACACAGTATGTACATGAGTGATCCCTCCCGTTAATGGCAACCCACTGTCAAAGGCCAATCGCACCTCGCTCTCGCGCTAAGTCGCGCCTACTGTGCCGTCAGGCACCCGCGGAATTCAGAAACACCAACATTAACCGCGTCATCCATCCATCCATCCAGTAAGAGTAACCGAACGGAAGACTGTCGATGAGAACGTAACACCACAGATTATTAAATGAAAGATTTTTTTGTGTTGTTTACTAAACTTGAACTTTCATTCCTTGGACATTACGTTTTTTAAAATTCTAAAAGAAAAAAAAATACACACACGCACGCGCGCGCACGCACACACACACACACACACACACACACACACACTCTGTCATTTTATTTCGTGTATCTACACTTCTGGTTTCAACTGTATGCTCAGCTTAATCTGACATGGTCAGCGGCATCATTCCGGTGATACAAATCAACTCCCTGTAAAGTAGGTTACACCATCATTCATTTTAATGCACACCTGAAAACGAGTAAAAACATATATACAAGTATTAACACCGGAGCCATTACAAAATCATGATTATAAAGTTTGAAACATGCAACTCGACAGATTTTACATCAAGTACAGCAGGGGTGTCCAAACTTTTTCGTTTGAGGGCCGCGCAACGAAAAATGGAAGGATGAAAGGACCACTTTAAAATTCTTCAACTTTTTGAAATGTACTAACGTCAGTCAAGAAAGCAATTCTAGATTGTTTTATATTGTCTAGCTAATTTCATCCTCTTTCTGTTAAAGGCAAATCGTTGAGGATTTTTTGGAGTGGACAACAGGCATCTATCTCACAGGTAGAGGTAGATCCAGCTCTCAGACCCCCCAAAAAGAACAAACTGTAGGAAAGTGACCATTTTTTCCCCAAAGAATTTCTTGAGGATCATTCACATGATGTCTTCATAAATCAGCCACAGAGCACAAAGTGGCCGCTGAAAAATGGCCCCTCAGGCCGTAGTTCCGACACCCCCGCGGTAGACCAAGGTTGCCTGCCTTGCTGTGATTTAATCAGTCAGGAACCCGCGAGGAAGCATTTACAAATTAACAAGTGTAATATCCTTCACGGTTATCGCCAAGGTAGGAAAACGTCGAACGTCCCCCAAAAGTGAGTTTTGAACGATTGCACGAAAGGCACAGGAGCCGCAAAGGAAAATTAAGATGGATCACAACAACCTCCCCCCCGGCCCCAGGTGCTCTCTCCTCGAGACAAACCGAAACAAACGTACAAGCCCGTAGTCACATTCTGCCACATCCAGGATGTCGTGTCAAATGTGCAAAGACGAAGACATGTCCCGTCAAAGCTTTCGCTAGAGTTTTCACGTGCGACGTAAACCTGGCTCCGTCAAGTAGCTGTAAAACGTTTGACATGTAAAAATAAATTTACCGCACTGGCGGCATAACATCTTCGGTAGTGTGAATTATCTTGGGATGTCTTTTTCAATCCTTTCAATATTTCATGCGGTCAAGGGCGATCAAGAGGAAAACATTTTGAAATTCATCACAGGGCTAAAGGCACAATGTTATTTTCCAAAACACCTTGTCTGATCACTTCTTAATTACCTTTCAAGTACTGTCAATGATCAGAAAACTATAGACAGGATTCATCACATTTTAAAAACACGCAACAATCAAAAACGTAGGAAAGGGGGGGAAAAAAAAAACATGCGCCCCTGCTCAAACCAACCGAATACGCTTCAAAATGCGAATGCAGTGTTCAAATGTCGACTCCGCTGTTGCACATCTCTGGAATGTTTTCATACCGATTGGTTGGAGCGATGTAACAATGCCTCCTGGTGTCCCCGATGCAAACGTGGTCAGGACAAGTCTCCGCGGGAGAGATGGCTGAGGACAGGGAGGATGACCACGAGGGAGCCGCTCCCCCACAATGCACGAGACGCGTTTTCCACCTCACCGCAAGAGACGACGCTCCATCATTCTCTTCGCGGTCCCCTCGGACCATCATATCAGTCATCCTGTTAAAAGGCAAGTTGTTTTTTTTCCATTTGTTTTTTTGTCCTCCACAACACATGCGTGAAGGGCTTTAAACATAATTGCTAATGCTTTGTCGTTGTTCGGGCTTCCGCTCGATGTCTGACAGGAAGCAGCGGATTGGAAGAGTTATGAAGAGGCTTATGAGTTGTCCTGCAGCTCTTTGGCCTTGGTCAGGATGGTATGGACATCTGAGATGGGGTAATCCTGAGGACAAAATGAAAGCGTTAGCAAGGGCAGCATCTTTTACCTTGGAGAACACCTCGGGATTTACATTCCGTAGTTGTCCCTAAAAATTCGTCGCGTTCTTCCCACCCATGACCGTTCCAGTCTTGACACTTGGTCGTTTTTTTTCTTTGTCGCCCAACGTAAAACGGCCCACGAATCCTCTTGCCGCTTCCTACCAGCGTTATCGTATCTAGTTTTGCTTTTGTTTCGTTTTTGTCTGGAAAAAATATATATTTGTGAGGAAGTGAATGATGACAATTTCTTAGTCCATGAAATTAACACTGGTTTAAAAGCCCGTCGACAAATTGCAATTTTGCTTCAAGATCGGTTTAGACCGGAAATCTTCCCATTTACATTCTGACAGCCAATACGAGCCTTCTCGTTTGGTTTGTTGTGATACAGTACATCTGAGTCTGCTTGGATTTTTGAGGACCGTGAATAAAAGAACACCAGCGGAGAGTTTTCAAATCAATATAGTGAACATTTGTTGCATTTTCCAAAAGACACCCACCTGTAGTAATCTCATATTCACTGTGAAGTCTCCAGCCAGGAGGTTCTCCCGGATCAGTCTGTCAATGTGTGACGTGAAAGAGAAACCGTGAACGTGACGCAGCACAAGTACTCATTTCATCAATGTGGGCTTGAGTGTCTCACATGAGCATGGCACAGCAGACCAGGATGAGGAAGTGGAAGCGGTCCTGGTCAGAAAACAGGGTATCCCAAATGCGGATGACATCTGGTAAGAGGAACTCCTGTGATAGCAACAGGGTCAGCCAGCGGAAGGTGAAGTACTGAGGCTTGATATTCTGTTCTAGCTATGTGCAAGGAAAAAGGAGAAACACACCATTAATGACAAAAAGAATCTTCCCCCCCAATCCATTTCCCCCTTCACCACTCGTGATTGACAGTCCGCGGGCTACCGGTCGATTGCGATGGACATATCGGGCACCCGTGATTTAGGTGGGAAGACAAACTGAACTGAGAACATTTTCTTGTATCCTTACAAGCTTGAAATAGAGCTCCTGGTCTTTTTCTTTGAGCATTGAGTACACACTCTCCATCTTGTATGTTATGCCACACTGGGAATCATCCAGGCTCTTGATGAAATTATCTCTGTTTTCTGACATGAGGTTGGTAAAACAGAAGAATGTGTCTGCTTCTGCATGTTCTGCAACGAAAAAAAAGAACACTATTTCAAGATTACAAATGCAATAAAAAGTCAGTACAATTGTTGACTTTGACCTTCCAGTGGCATCAAATCAACATTTTCACATAATATGAATTACTGTCAAATAACTGTGCCTCAACTAGATGTGTCTGTCCACGGTTCAACAAATTGTTTCACTTGAACGAAATGTTAACCACCTACCTTTCCATTGGCTGTTGGGGTCTGTGGCAAAGGTGTAGTAGATTGGACCAACAATTTCATTCATGCCCTGGACATAAGCAATCCCAGGATTGAGTTTGGCATAGATGAAGAGGATGCGCTCCACCACTTCCCAATGTGCTTCACTCCCGTTGGGCAACACCTCGTATTCATTAGATGGGTACAGGTTCAAAGACTTTCCAGGGGAGCTGACCTTGGAGGACAGATGCAATTCACTCAAGTGACTTTATAGTGTGCAGTTACTGCATCAAAGCTCAAACAAGTGGTTTTGCATCGCAGTTTGCAACGTCAAATGAGCAACTGCTAACTTCTTTACACACGTCACACAAACTTGTTTATGCACAGGTCAGACAATGAGAAGTGGGCTGCAAGAGCTCAAGAAACAGACACACCGTGCCACAATCCAACATCCGGTGGGGAAATGGCACAGCATTTGATTAAAAAGAACACGATGCCAACATTGAAGCATGGTGGTGGTTTTGCGACCGACCACCTGCTAATTTCAGCAAGGAGTCAGTGTTGACATTGCTAAAACTTGATTAGCAAATCATCGCCTTAAAGCTCCAATGGTAAATGTGGAGAGGTCATCTCATTGTGCATAAGTGAGCAAACGTGTTTCCCCAAATACAGTGTATGAAAGAAGAAATTGACACTTACATTAGTTACTCCGCTGCGGTTGCGATTGACCGTTTGTGCTTTCAGGGTGGTTTGTTCCACTCGTCGACGCAATGTCTCATAATCATTCTGAGGGTCTAAGATGAGTTGGCAAGGGTAGTCCGTCGGACGCTGAAAAAAGGCCATGTCTGGATACAGCCTCCTGTCAAATAAAAGCATTTGTATTTTACTGCAGGTGCAAGAAACCCCACATTCAGGAACTCAAGTGAACTTCTGATGTAAGAGTACAAAGAAGATTTTGGAAGAAACAAATATTACAGTATTAATTTAGGTCCATACCTTACATCCTTATCAATTTGAAGTAGAATTTCATTATCTTTGAAATATGTATTCCACCTGCTCTCTGGATTCGGATTTAGAGGCTGAAAACAAAGCAAGAATAAACAAAAACATTCGCTTGATTTGAAACCTTTGTGTGTGATAGATATCTGTGGCTCAGACATCTGTCATGACAGGCATTTGAGCACAAACTGTGAAATGAGTGCCCCATTGCAATCTATTTGGCGATTTAGACTCACATGGTCTTCCATTGTAACGTCTTCTCTGGATAGGCCCAGGTTGGCCTTGGCAATGCCAGGTTGGATGATCATTTCTTTCAGAAACTGTGTATACACCTCCCTGTATGTAGCCAATGAAATGTTTAGGACAATTCGACCTTTTCGAAGAGGTGTGGTATTATTGATATCAAGAGACAAACTAGATTCTGGATGAATCGTTGTCTTTAAACAATATATGTTTAAAATCACAAAATGAATGACCAGCTTTGGAATATTATCTTACACTATTTTCTTCTTCATGACCAACATATAATGAGCTCTGGGATCACTGATCATTAATAGTAAAACACATGAGGATTCAAGTCGGGCATTCATATTAATTGGAATGAGGATTTTTTTTTTTTTTTTTTAACTAAATAGGACAAGACAAATGTAACCAGCTGGGGTTTGTATGTCATATCCAACACCACTGCCATTTCTCTTATTTCCACTGCAATCTCCATCCAATCATAAGCAGTGTTGCATTGAACACGTACAATGTTTAGCCTACCTCTCCTTTTTGAGGAACGAGTCCCATCGTGTCTGATCAAGAGGAAGGTAATTAAGAAGGATCTGAAAAGAGTAGAGTAGAAAGCAGATTTTCTACAAACGTTTGTGAGCAACTTGAAAAGTTCATCAAAAGAGTCATCCATAACTCGATGTTGGGCTGCAGTATAGAGCACGCTGAATAATTGACCTGTGGGTCATAAATGATGCTTACCTTCCAGCTAAGTGCCCGTATGCCTCCTTCAAAGGGAATTCCTGCGATGAATAAAGAAAAGGACGCTCAAGGGCTGTTCGGCAATGACTTATCAGAGCAATAGGACCCAAGACAGAAACTTACCATTGAAGCACAGCTCCCTCAGTGTTTGCAAGTTTATGTTTTCTTCTGTCAAAGCTACTTTGAAGTCCTGTATTCTACGGAAAAACAATGGAGAATGTTTTTATCTGAACTATCCTAATGGAATTGGAAACATGTTGTACATTCTGCATACCCAAATATTTTCAATTTGAGAATATCTACATGATAGACTATACTTCACAGAACTTAAGCACATATATGCACACATGCACATGCAGGATAGACCCTGTACACTTACACATATGGATTGTTCTCAGAGAACTTGATCCAGGTGTGTGACATGTGAACCCAAGAGTAAGCTTGTGCAAAACCAGTTAAAAATGATATATGCTTGAAATCAAACCTTCCTCCAGTGCAATACGAATAAATAAAGATAGTTCACGTTCACTCAGCCCTGGAGATTGTTGAATGCTATAATTTTTTACGACGATGTCACCCATGTTGACACTAAGCACACCACCAATTTGCTATTTGCTAATGGTTAGAGAAATGAAAATATCAAACGTGATTTTGATCTGTTTCTGAATTTATCACGTGCTTATGTCCCGTTATTAATTAAAGCAAGACCTGTAAAAATAAATAAGCACAGAACACAAATACTTATTTGAAGGCAAAATACAAAAAAAATCATTGCAGAAAATGAGGGTACGTCCGACGGAAAACGGATTTGAATGCCAAATAACCACAGTCGGTCGATTCAATTAAACAGAGTCTGACTTTTAGAATTTAGCTTGGAACACGTTTTCAAAAATACACAGTCAGCAAGAGAGCAAAACGTTTGACGTTAGAGGCTCGTGTTAGTTGGATGTTATCAGCTGACATGCTAACGGGAAGCTAGCATCGCTAGCTTGTCAAACGAACACCTAAATATTCGTTTTTGGGACAACACCGCGATTTACTGACTACATACGTTACATTTCAACACAACACGAAAGTGAAATGTAAGCGGTGCGGTCCGCAATAGCTCTTGAATGCAAGTTTAAGGTTCTGCTAGTCCGAATTGTGGTCAGGATGCTTTTGTCACTGTAGTAAATACCGATCGTGTATTGCATGCTATTTTCACGCCCATCATCCCTCGCAGAACGTACCTGTTTTTGTATGCAACGGACATATCTGGGCAAGCGGCGATATTTTCATGCAACTATTTCCAAAAAGGTGCCTGAGAGAAATCGTCCCGTCACTTCCGTCTTCACAACACTGTAAGAAGGCACCACACTACGGTCTACGCACCGCGGTATTCGTGCTTGCACGTGACTGTACAGAGGAGGGGAGGGACATAGTAAGTACGGTACCTTGACTTTCGCGTTTATGTCATTCCGTGACCAAGTTTCGAACTCAATCTTACTTGTATAACAGATTATTTTCCCCATTGATATGCCCTTCTCCAAGTGTCGCAAGACTGCAATCAAGTGGAACCGGAATTATGTGGACATCTATCTGTACTTATGCCCACGTCTGCCTCTGAAAATATAAGACGACCCCCACCCAATACTGTATTTTGGATTGTTCTTCAGTTCCTCTGTGAAAGTGTGGTTTTCTTACCCCTAGTTCGCTGAATGGGTGTCTTAATTAACTGCCACCTTAAATTTAGGTTGCACATTGTTAACATGAAAACCGTGACTGTGACTCATTTGAAAAACATTGAAATCCCTGTTAGCTTGGTGTTAAAAAAAGAATGCTCGTGATTCTAGTGCTACATCTCTACATGTGATTTTGAACATCTGATGCATACTGTAGATGGGAGAGCTTTTACCTTCTTCTGTATGTTGGCAGGGTTGTTATCTTGCATTTTTCTTCACTAATGGAAAGGAACAGGTGCGATTAACTGATAAGAATTAATATAATACAATTCAAGACTCATTAAGTGTGGCAGCGGAACCAAAGGAACAAGCGGATAGTTGCTGACACGGGTGTACAGTCACTGTGTGGAACGTACACACTGATTTATGTTAAAATAACATTTACAAAGAAGTGTCAGGCACGACTATGTATGTGTTTTATTTTATCTCCCTGACTGTGGACGGTCTGATAATGACGCACAGATTCACAGTCAACCCTGGCCACCCCTCACTGAGGTGTTGTGTCACTCTGGCCACCCCACGGAACCATTTCTGGCTAGGGCCCTGTAAAAGCGATGCATCCTGCAGTGCACCATCAACATAATACTGTAGCAGTCGATGCATTTTTAAGTTTGGCACATCAACTCACATTTTTGTTCATTTCTCTAAAACAGGCATAACTGCACCACTGTACACAAGACAAACCTGCAGTACCGCAAACTGATACTGCGTATATAGTCTATATGTGATCTGACTTTTTGGGTACCAAATCTCTTTGCATTGACAATCATGTTTGTTTTTCCACCCCGTGCATAGCAACGCGAGGAAACGAGGAAGAGGAACCGGAGGAAGGGAGGACTTGTAGTAGAAGTAGGAGGAGTCTGTTTGTTGACATCAGAAGAAAACGAAAATCAGATGAGCGAAGACTGGTGATAATAACTCCGTTTCTCGCCTTTAGCCAGACGGAAAGCCTTGGCGAAAGCTAAGGTAGACCATCAGATGACGACTTGCCCACTCAGACACCGCTGACCACTGACTGTTTTCTGTATTTCCACATATGTTTGGGGCTAGCGCTAGCCGCACTGCTACGTTCGCTAACACTGCAGGGAAAGTCATCGTTAGCCCAAAGCTAACGTAACCCGAAATACACAAGTGATGTACACTACCGGCTATTGGAAGCCCAATTCAGAATAACAACTACCTGTAAGTCATTATGAACGCGCAAATAACTGTTCGCTACCCGGTCATATCTGACTCTGTCGCGTTGGTGTTAGTTAAGTAAATTGTTCCACTTCATCGCTAACTAGCTTGTTTGCTAACTTAGTCGCTTTGGATTCATTGCTTTATTGCTAACAACCTCGTAATAGCCCCCAGAAAACGAGGAAAGTATACATTTAACCGAAGTGAACCTGCAAGAGTCCCTTCGCTTAATATTACGTCAATAGATCATATTGTTGTAAATGTTTGAACAAGTTGCAAAGTACCCAACTTCAGTCGTTAACAAGCAGCAAGATGGCCAATGTTGTGTTTTTGCTTGGCATTTAAATTGGAAGTACAGATTCCGCGGAGTGGCTTGTTGTCCTTCACCGCGTGACATTATTTCCCCTTCACACATTCCTTTTTTATGAATAATTTCAACATTAGTCCTATAGATAGAATTTAATGAAACAATGTTTTTTTTTCTTTCTTTCAATGACAAGTGTGCCACTTGCAGCAGCCTTGTGTTTAAACATATAGAGAAGTACTGATTATATTGACACTTATATTCAGCGGTGTTAAAACTTTTTTCCTGCAATATTTACCCCATTATTTTCCATTGTGAAGTTAAGCTCTCCTCTATGTGACTGTAACATGTTTCTTAAGCTCTGGAGGAAAAACAAATGAGCAAAGGTTTGTCAAAATTGTGGTACTGCTCACCCTCACTCAAGTCCTCATCCTCACCATTCATTTAATTTGTCGATACTTGTCTCATCAGGTCCCCTGCACTGCCAAGTCTTGGATCTGAGCCAGACAAAAAGAGGCGAATATGGCAGCCAAAGCAGGAGACAACCCAGACAGCCTCATGACTCTGGCAACGGTATTCTGCCTGAGGAACCTGAGAAAGACGATGTGCTATCAGGGTTCGAGGGACAAGCTCTGCTTGCGCTCAGACATCTTTCTTCCCAGTGAAATCTGTGACAAATTGGTCAACGTGTATGTATATGGCCTTACCACGATGACACGTAGCTCATTTCACTTAGTCAGTTGCGTGTGCCCTGAATGTATTGCAGAGCTCATGCATCCTACGTTTTTGTTTGTTTAAATAGGTACATGGAGTTGGTGCATACAGAGAGTAACTTTGAACCAGAAGAGAACTTTTTCCAACTATTCTCAGAACCTCGGAGCACCAGACTCACCAGGGTGCAGTTGAAAGAAGACTTTGTCCGTGACAGAGACTTGGAGGCTATAAGGAAACAGGTAAAAGGCTGCACTGTATTATTAAATGAAGATCACTTTTCATAATGATTGTTAGGATATAATAGAACGGACCATCTGTGGGGAACTGTGTTTCGTATTTATAAGTACCGTACGTTCACACCTATTTTTATACTCACCTGCTCTGTGTGATTCTGACAACAAAATATGGTTTGGAGTTGAGGTGTATGGATTAATCTATGATCAAATGAATCAACAATTTTATTCATCAATTAATCACTTAGTCCCATTGTTCAACTTGAAAATGTCCAAATCCTCGGATTCAACCTCTCAACAGTCTAGTGATGTCACGGTACCAACATTTTGACTTCGATAATATATACCATGGCAAAAACTTAAAACATAGGTAAAAAAGCAGTGAAATAATAGCTGACAGCTAAACAACTTCAAATTTGTATATGTATTAATTAAGAAAATCACAAGGATATTAATTGGAGTACTTTTGATAAAATAACCCTCAACTTAACTTTATGAGTACAGTACTCGAAAAATAACCACTGCTGCATACATAGTGCTCTGTCTAAATGTCACAAGGTGCGTTTATTGACTTAATGCTGTTTGCGTAAAGTGCTCATCCAAATTTGTTTGGCCGTGTGTGATGTCATGTCAGTTGGGCTTGTGTTCGCGGGTTGCAAGAAATACGCGATTACAAAACGCTTTTGGAGGGTTGACCCCAACACTCAGGAGGAATTATAAATTATTAAAAAAAATAATAATAAATACATTTGTCCTCCATTAAAAGTCCTTAAAATATGTTGAATGTTTTCTTCCAGGACCTGATTGAGCTTCACCTCACGTACTGCAACAGTCTGTCATCCCGCAGCTTGAAAACACTGACCTGCTTCCGCGAGACGCTGGTCTCTCTTTGTCTCTTTGGCTGCAGCAACATCTTCTATCGGAAGGGCGGCGCCCCACTCGCCTGCAATGAAGACACAGAGGATGACGAGGAAGAAAGCCCCGTGTCGAGGCAGGCGTTAAAGACGGACTTTAACTTTCAGGGTTTCAACCGCCTGCGGTTGCTTAACCTGGGTGGCTTACCAGATGAGATGCATGCCGAGACGCTGCTCAAACCCTTGAAATCGCTCACCTCACTAGATCTGTCTAACGTACAGTTACTCGGAACAGCTTTTCTCACTCAGTGGAAAGACAGACTGGCATCTCTTGTTCTCTACAATGTGGACCTTTCAGAAGAGTTGGTCAATACGGTGGTGGAACTTGTCAATCTCAGGTGAGTACCAAGGTCTGCTTGCATTTTTTTCTATGTCTATGTCAGTTGGCGAAAACTTGGTCAACATAGTGCGGATACAATAACAAATTCATGGGTTTTTGCACCCTACTCAGTTTTTTTAAACTCTCATTTTAATACCCGATCAAACGCAAGCTTAGATTAGTTGATAACCAAATAATTGTGTTATTCACTGTCCAAATCCACCAAGAACTCATGAACCTGCATTCCTCAGGCATCTTGACATCTCACGTGAGTGTCGGAGGACCTCCAAGTTTAAGATGACCAGGAAAATCTTGACCGCTATCGTTCAGCGACTGGTCAATCTGGTCTCGCTGGACATCTCGGGTCACATCATGCTTGACAACTGCACAGTTCCACACTTAGAAGAAGCTATGGGTCGGCCGAGGTGGGTAAATAACACAAAACGAAGCAGATATCAGAACCTCTTTCGTGATTTTCTGAGATTATTTTCTCTTCTCCAGTAACGAGCCATGCAAGAGCAGCATCTACCCTTTCCAAGAGCTGAAGAGGCCTCTGCAGTTTTTGGGTTTATACGACACCACCCTTTGTAATGTGACGCATATCCCTGCTTATAAGGTACAACTGACAGAAATGCCTTCAATCTTCTGAAAGTAAGCCGTCTCAAATGCATGATCCTCTCGACTGAATTCAGTGGCGGAGAAGAGGCTGGAAAGCAATTGCAATCCTCAGCATTGGTCACTGCTGTTTATGGACAAAAACACAACAATGTGCCTTTTTTTTTTTTTAAACCCATGTTACCATGCCATCAGCACTAACACAGCCCCATACCATCACAGATGCTGGATTTTCAGCTTTGCATCCAAAGCGGTCCGGATGGTTCTTTTCCTCTTTGGCCTGGAGGACACGACGTCCTCAATTTCCCAAAACAATTGGAAATGTTTTTGCTACTGCCACCTACCCTCATCGACCTTTTGCTAAAGGATACTTCAAAGGTTCTCAATAGGGTTGATCTTCAGGGGAGGATGGAGGCCACACATTTGCATTGACTATTTATAAACATCTTAGAGTAACATCATTTACAGAATCATTTGGAATGTGGTGTGTAGACTGAAGTTGAAAGAAAATCTCTTGAGGGAAATGGCTGCCATTCAGGCAAAGCTGTTTCTGAGGGGACCCTAACACGGAAACAAACGCTCTGACAAAATAAGACAAAAGGTTGCGTGTATTCATAATGCTTATTAACAGCTTTTGTTTTGTGCTTGTTGGTGTTGTGGCGCATTGGCAGGTGACTGGATCAAAGAATGAAGACCAGGTCCTGAATGCTATTGAAGCTTACACCGAGTTTCGACCTGAATTGGCCCACAGAGCCATCAATCAACTGTTTGACATTGCCAGGATACAACATTGTATCCAGCTACTCCGAGCGCTACGGGTATGAGAAGGACATCGACTAATCGACAAAATTCTTTCCACCCCCACCCCCCCAAAAAAAATGTGGCTGTTTACATGACTGCTAAAAATGTCTCATTTCAGCTTGTTATAGCAGCATTGAAGTGCCATAAATACGATAAGAGCATTCAGGTGACAGGTAGCGCTGCGCTCTTTTACCTGACAAACACCGAATACCGCAGTGACCAAAGTGTGCGTCTTCGCCAAGAGGTCATTCGAGTGGTTTTAAATGGAATGGAGCAATACCAGGAGGTCACTGTAAGTGTGCTCTTCTTCCGTTTCTCAGACACAAGGGTCATCCTTCAAACACTTATCTAAATTTTGAAATGTACCTTGCTGTTCAAAGTATCTTCACAAAATAGGAAAAGTATTGACATAAAATTGATTCTTCCCCATAGTGAGGGTGTGTGCTGTGTCATTTGTTTGTTTGATATGATTGTAAATGGAATAATCTTGCCCCCCCCTCCACCACCAACTCAACAAAAGGTTCAAAGGAACTGCTGCTTGACTCTGTGCAACTTCAGCATACCTGAGGAGCTGGAGTTTCAGTATAGTCGGGTCAACCAGCTGCTGCTCAAAATCTTGGAGCCGGCAAGGCAGGACGAATCCATCCAGAGAATCGCTGTGCACCTCTGCAATGCTTTAGTCTGCCAGGTCGACAACCACCATAAGGAAGCTGTGGGAAAAATGGGATTTGTTAAGGTAACATCAAAATTCAGTTTTCCACCCCGCCCCTCTAATATTTCTTCTTGTGAGGTTTCACAAGAAGTCCTTTGTTTCCAGACAATGTTGAACTTGATACAGAAGAAGTTGCAGGATCGATTGGTGAGTTACAATGTCACGGAGTGTGGATCCTGAGATCTCAAAGTTTTCTTTGAAAACCTCAGTATGATTCAGAGGTTTTGAATTCTATGTTCATTGATTTAATGGAAAGTAGATATGCTAGAGCTACAGGCTCAAGAAATCACATTGTGCGTTTTGTTTGCATTCAGTGTGACCAGGTGATGGAGTTTTCTTGGAGTGCTCTGTGGAATATCACCGATGAGACACCAGACAATTGTCAGATGTTCCTCAACTGTCATGGGATGAGTCTCTTTCTGGACTGTCTGAAAGTGAGTGTGGTCCCACAAGTTCCAAAGACTCATAAGGACCTCTCTGATATATCTTTTGCGTTCTTAGTTTTCTTTTATTGTGATTAAAGCTTCTTCTGTCTTTTTGAAACTTAATCGAAGGGGTTTCCAGATAAGCAGGAGCTGCATCGCAACATGCTGGGGCTTCTGGGTAACGTTGCCGAGGTCAAAGCGCTCCGACCAAAGCTGGTGACACCGCAGTTCATCTCTGTTTTCAGGTAACACATTACTGAGGCCAGCGAGGCGTGAAGTCAATTCCTATTTTTGCACATAAAAGTACAAATTCTCTGTTGAAGCGACATACCGGAACAGGTACTCTTGACCAAAGTGCCCTCATGAAAAAGTGCGAATATTTGTTTTGATACCTCTCAAGAAATTTGACAATTGGAAGGCAAAACTTGCATGCACTTCAATTTTTCGAAATGGTATACAATGCCGTACTTCCTTCCTTCAAACATTTGTCATAATAGTCTTTTCTGTTTTCCCCGTCACTCACACGGCAGCAATCTATTAGACAGTAAGGCCGATGGGATCGAGGTGTCATACAATGCATGCGGCGTGCTTTCCCACATCATGTTCGATGGACCAGAACTTTGGTCTATGGAAGAGCCGCTAAGAGACACGGTGATGGACAAAATGTGGGATGCGATTCAGAGCTGGGATGTCAGCTCACGGCGCAACATCAACTACAGGTGACAATATCTTCCTCACCAAGGAAATAACGTGGCCAGCGGATGTTAGTTTACTTAGGTTTTTAATTTTGTCGTTAAAATATACAGTGGAACCTCCACATACAAACCTAATTGGTGATGTGAGCCTGTTTGTAGCCAGTGTGTACACCTTTTCTTTTCCTAGAAAAATGACCTCTGTTAACATACTGTGTATGTAGTGCTGGCACAACCGATTTATGTCAGACATCTAGTGGTGATTGGTAATATTACAACTGAAAATTACAGTCAACACCTGCCTACTCGCATCGCAGTTCAGCAAAATAAAATGTTTTTTAATTAATCAAGAGGCCATGCAGCTGTCATGGGGTTTCCTCCGTTTCAAATGTTCTATTCTCTCAGGTCATTCGAGCCCATTCTGCGACTTCTGCCTCAAAGCATTGCTCCAGTTAGTCAACACTGGGCCACGTGGGCTCTGTACAACCTAGTGTCAGTTTACCGTGAGTATCTTAAGATTCAGCCTACATGTCCAAACATAACATTTCACTTTACTGTGCTTGTTCTTTTCCTCACTTACACACATTGACACACATAGACAGTGGCCTACTGATCTAAATACATTTTTGCGATATCAGGAATAATGTTCGCATTGGTCCAATCTTTGCTCCTGTTCCGTGTGCAGCGAGCAAGTACTGTCCCCTGCTCATAAAAGAAGGAGGAATCAGCCTTTTGGAGAGAGTTTTGGAGTTGGAAAGTTCGCAGCCTGAGACAAAGGATATGGCCCAGTAAGACAATCTTTTTCACACACCCATGCAGTTTACATGTCATCACATCATAAAGTCAAACACAAAAGATGAATAGCTAAACAAAACAACTTCAAACTAAACACAACAGCAAATGGGAAAAAACACACCCAAAAAAGATGAACTAAACAAAACAACAAAAAGCTCCCGACAACAACAAATCCCCAAAACACGTGAACAAATGACTCAACCCAACAACATTTTCCAACCGACTGTGGTCAATATGCGGGGGTGGGCGTGGGATCAGACTCAATAGCTGATTGGACGAGAGGGACAGTACCGGAAATGGGGACTTTACCCTATTTTGCCAGTCCGTCCCCCATCCTCCGGCCGCGACCTGGGCCCCCTTCTGTCATCGTCCCTTCGTCCTTATTCATATAATAATCATCCTCCGTCCCTGTCCTTTTAACGCGCTTCCGTCCCAGATGTGAGGAGGGACCAATTATCTCCATTTCTAAATAAATAAATAAGAAATTGGCCATATTTGGACATAACAATGTTTCTGTTTAACTGCTTCGTTTGTCATTAAAAACACAAAATAGAGCTAAGTAATTCCTTTGCGGAGGATTGCATCATCCCACAGATCTCTGCGGCCAAGTAAATCTCTTCACTTTTCTTTCAGGAAAGTAATGGAGCAGTGCGAGAGCTTTAAGGAAGAC